TCAACTCAGGAAGGTGAGCTTATTTCATTGAGATAACTGTATTTTCAAGAAAAATAAAATCAATAGATACAACAAAACTAAGATTGCCATAATCAATATAATAAATGAAAAGAACAAAGTCCACTAAGATTGCCATAATCAATATAATATCATTAAGTATGTGCTATCAGGAAGCATGGTGTACTTGGAATTATAACATTCCTCCTAGATTTGTTTCTAGATATTTGGATTGTTAAGATCGAATAATCTATCCCGAAATCTCAATAGGATAACCTCGAAGACATAAAAATCTGATTTCAATCAATTTTCTACTTCATTCCTCAAGTAGACTAAACATAGATCTTATAATAATTATTATTTAATTTGTCGAATGAGATCAGATAGAACTTGGAGGCTATCAAAATCATCTAGTATCCCACTATCCTCAAAACGTTTAGGTTATAATTTTTTTTCAATGACTTCCGTTGCTTCACCATTAGATTAGCCATAAAACTGGTACATTTTCTACTACCAGTATAAATTACAACATTGGCTTTACCTAACAGATAACTAATGATACAATCATAATCCTTTAAACTTTCTATATATCTCCATGATCTCATATTTGACTCTTTCTAGGTAAAAATATACTTTATACTCTTATGATCAGTATAGATTTCAAATGTTCGTCCATATAAATAATATCTCTAAATCTTTATAGCAAAAGTAATTGCAACTAATTTCAAATCATGAGTTGAATAATTTTATTGATAACTATTCAATTGTCTAAAAGTATAAACAATCACTTTCCCATCTTTCATCAAAATACAATCAAGGTCTTTTCTCGAAACATCTGTATAAACTACAAATCCCTCGCTAACATTTGAAATATAGATAATAGGGGCACTAGTCAATCTTCGTTGTAACTCTTGAAAATTTCGCTCAAAATCTTTACCCAATTCAAATGTCACATTCCTTTAGGTTAGTTTGGTGAGAGGAGTAGCAATTTGAGAGATCCCTCCAGAAATCACTTGTAATAACCTGCCATGCCCAAGAAAATTCACATTTGTTGGACATTGTAGACAATTATACAAAAATTCACATTGTTATCCCTCGCATACAATAATATATCATCAACGAGTACAATTATACTGTGATCTAAGAGTGACTGAAATATCCTATCCATTAGATACATAAAAGCTGCTAGGGCATTTGTTTTCGCACCGACCATATCAAGTTCTAAAAGCTATATTTGAGGTATCCTCTTTCTTAGTCTTCAATTAATAGTAACCAAATCTCATATTAATCTTCGAAAAGACTTGTGCACTATACAATCGATCAAATCAATAATCAATTTTGGGTAGAGGTATTTATTCTTAATGTGCACCAGATTCAACTATGTATAATCGATACAAGACCTCAATGGTTCATCCTTTTTCTTAACTAACAACATCGGAGCACTCCATGATAAAACATTAGACTGAATGAAACATTTATTTAACAGTTCTTATAGTTGCTTCTTCAATTTCACAAACTTGAGAGGTGCCACTCTATAGGGAGGCTTAGATATTGGGGTTGTCCCCGGGGACGAAATTAGTATGAAATTCACATACTCTATTTGGAGGTAATCCGAACAAGTCATCCGAGAATAGATTAGGGAACTCACTGAAAACAGTAGTTTTATTTAAATTAGTTTCTTGATCTGAATACTCTTTTACAAATATAAGATAGTAACAATAGCCCTTTTGTATAAGTCAATGAGCTTGAAGTAACGATATAAGGCAAGAATGTGAATCAAGCCTAATGCCCTAAAAATAATGAATTGGCTAAGTTACTATACAAAAAATGATCACTTATGTAGAACAATCTATATTAACTAATATAAAGATAGTCAATTAATACCAAGTGTAATATTAGAATACTGAATCTCTAGGAGAATCGATAAAAAAGTTTGTGTTCTCCAATAGAAATCAAATAAGATTGATAGATCAAGTTTGTTGTCAAAGAATCCCCAACAAACGTAGTTACATATAGCATATAATTCATTAGTCTAGGTTGAACACCTAAGTGAGAAGAAAAATATTGTAAAACAAAAGATAGATTGTAACCAGGGTCAAATAAAACTTTGCATTTCAATTAGAAACTTGAATAATACATTTGACTACCGATTTAAAAGCTCAAAAATCCTATACAATGATAGCATACACTCCGATATGGGCCGATGATCTAGGAGGCAGGGGCTATTTCTTCTTATTCGAAGGGCAATCTTTTACTTTACGATCCAACTTTTCATAGGAAAAAAGGCTCCAATCAACCGAAACAACTGACTTTTTCATGATTTAATATGTATTTTGCACAAGATTGAGCCTTTTTGATGGCTTCTCTTTCCCAATCTAGATGTCTTTAACCCTCATGTTACCACTTTATGATTTATTTTCTCTATTATTTTTGTAGTGAAGCTTATCCTTGTCATTATTGCCCTTGATCTCTTGAATATCCTCAATATTTTTTTCGATTATTATAGCTTTTTCTACCACATCAACATATGCTCAAAGCTATAAATCTGATATCCGATTTTTTATTGTTGACCATAGTCTCCATTTAAATCTCTATGGCTTTGTAGATAATGGAGAGACGTATAGGAATCTATAGACACGAAAATCAAGTTTAGCACTCTTGCCTTGAAAGTTTATATCGGATCTCTCTCATTTCATCAAGTATATGCTATCAGGAAGCATGGTGTACTTGGAATTATAACATTCCAACTAGAATTGTTTCTAGATATTTGGATTACTAAGCATGAATAATCTATCTCGAAATCTCAATAGGATATCCTCAAAGATCTTGTAATTTCAATCAATTTTCTACTTCATTCCTCAAACAGAATAAACGTGGATCTTGTAATTGTCATTCTTTAATTTATCAAATGAGATCAGATAGAACCGAGATAAAGGCTATCAAAATCATCGAGTCTCGCACTATACTCAAAACGTTCAGGTCATAATTTTTTTCAATGACTTCCGTTGCTTCACCACTAGATTAGCCATAAAACTGGTATATTTTCTACAACATGTATAAACTACAACATTGGCTTTACTTAAATGATAACTAATGGTACAATCATAATCCTTTAAAATTTCTATATAACTCCATGATCTCATATTAGATTCTTTCTAGGTAAAAATATACTTTATACTCTTGTGATCAGTAAATATTTCAAATGTTCGCCTATATAAATAATATCTCTAAATCTTTATAGCAAAAATAATTGTAACTAATTTCAAATCATGAGTTGAATAATTTTATTCATAACTTTTCAATTGTCCAGAAGTATAAACAATCACTTTCCCATCTTTCATCAAAATACAATCAAGGTCCTTTCTCGAAATACCTGTTTAAACTACAAATCTTTCGCTACCATTTGAAATAGAGATAACAAGGCACTAGTCAATCTTCATTGTAACTCTTGAAAACTTCGCTCATAATCTTCACTCAATTCAAATGTCACATTCCTTTGGGTTGGTTTGGTGAGAGGAGTAGTAATTCGAGAGATCCCTTTAGGAATCTCTTGTAATAACCTGCCATGCCCAAGAAACTTCTAAGTTCTATCATAGTCATTGATATTTCCCATTTAACTACCACTTCCACTTTCTTTGGATCAACAGAGATACCTTTCACTGAAATCATATAGCCTAAAAAGACAACTTCGTTCAACAAAAATTCACATTTGATGGACTTTACAAACAACTCTTTTTCTCTTAGTATTGACAATACATTTCTCAAGTGTTCTTTATGCACCTGGTTACCACTTGCATACAATAATATATCATCAAATCTTTCGCTACCATTTAAAATAGAGATAACAAGGCACTAGTCAATCTTCATTGTAACTCTTGAAAATTTCGCTCAAAATCTTCACCCAATTCAAATATCACATTCCTTTGGGTTAGTTTGGTGATAGGAGTAGCAATTCGAGAGATCCCTCTAGATATCTTTTGTAATAACCTGCCATGACCAAGAAAATTCACATTTGTTGGACATTACAGACAATTATACAAAAATTCACATGGTTACCCCTCGCATACAATAATATATCATCAACGAATACAATTATACAGTGATCCAAGAGTGACTGAAATATCCTATCCATTAGATACATAAAAGCTGCTAGGGCATTTGTTAATCCGAATAATATTATTAAGAATTCACACCGATCATATCAAGTTCTAAAAGCTATATTTGAGAGATCCTCTTTCTTAGTCTTCAATTAATAGTAACCAAATCTCATATCAATCTTCGAAAAGACTTGTGCACTATACAATCGATCAAATCAATCATCAATTTTGGGTAAAAAAAAACTTATTCTTAATGTACACCTGATTCAACTATGCATAATCGATACAAGACATCAATGGTTTATCCTTTTACTTAACTAACAATATCGGAGCACCCCATGATGAAACATTAGACCGAATGAAACTCTTATGTAGTTGCTTCTTCAATTCCACAAACTTGAGAGGTGCCACTCTATATGGAGGCTTAGATATTGAGGTTATCCCCGGGGATGAAATCAATAGCAAATTCACTTACTCCATTTAGAGGTAATCCGAGCAAGTCATCCGAGAATAAAATAGGAAACTCTCTGAATACAAGAGTTTTATTTAAATTAGTTTCTTGATCTGAATACTCTTTTACAAATACAAGATAGCAACAATAGCCCTTTTGTATATAAGTCGATGAGCTTGAAGTAACGATATATGGCAAGAAGGTGAATCAAGCCTAATGCCCTTAAAATAAAGAATTGGCTGAGTTGATATGCAAAAAATGATCACTTCTGTAGAATTATCTATACTGATAAATATAAAGATAGTCAATTAATACCAAGTGCAATATCAGAATACTGAATCTCTAAGAGAATCAAATCAACAAAAAGTTTATGTTCTCCAATAGAAATCAAATAAGATGGATAGATCAAATAAGTTTATGTGACTTATTGGGGCTTTATTGAGCAACTCACTCCATTCTTCTTAAAAATTAAATACTAAACTAAATTGGATACCTCAGAATCAGTAATATCAAATATAACATAGAGTAGTCAGAGGAGATATAACTGATAAACAAAGACCTAGATATATATTTAGCAGCAGAAGTTGTTTATAGGAACCGGATCACAAACCATCCAGTTTTTCTTCCCATCAAGCTTTTGGACAACTGGTGGCAATGTCTTTTGGGAATCTTTCCTAAACTCAAGCAATAATCCTGCAAGTTTTCTTCTCCAATTTAGCATCAAATAACTCCTTACTGCTTGGTAATCCCACTCTGGAAAGATAGCAAACATAACAAAAAACAAATATTCAAACTAATGAACAAATAAACAAATGCCAACTTCAACAAAAGTAAAAGAATGTCCTACTGGTTTCATAAAACAAATTAACCTTTGAGAAAAATTCAATTATCCTCGCTAAATAAGATTAGAGTTGAAACTTCAGTTTTGAGCGTCAGAACAAGCTTGACCAGAGCCTTATATCTGGGATGTATAAGTGGTTGAAGGTCTGCTTGTGCATCCATACCAATCAGTCAACATTGCACAAGGGAACATATAGCTTGTGCCATTTCATGCAACTAGTATGTACCAATCTAACCGAAGACTTGTATGGTAAAAAAAATCATAAAAGGGCAATCCCTAAATACAAATGACCTTCAAAATATTTCTATACCAAGCTATCGATGACTATTTGGGCCAAACGATTAAGCTAACTGATCTTCACTAGCCTTTAGCCTTGACAGATCAGAGCCAAAGGCTTCAAAAAAATTGAGATCATCTGAACCTTTTCTAGAGGAGTGAATGACACAATGACATTTCAAGGTTTGAGATATATCCTACCATTTATATCTGGCATAATGACATTCACTTTTGAAAATTTTCATGTCTGGAACAGATTTCCAACATTAAAATTGAACATAAAGATGCTTGATGGCCTCTATTTCTGTGCCATGCAGTCACTTCATCAATGATATGACAAGAGATGCATGTTACACATCGTACATTCACATTTGACCGATAAAGCTAGATGATAAACAGTATGACCTTTCTATGTTGCACCACCAATATCTCAAATAGAACATGGGTCAAAGATGTCAGATGCACCAATGAGGACTACAAGACAGGCAATTTAAGGATGGAAAAATAGAAACATAAATCTCAGTAAAATGCTTTGCTTGTAGTGTTTAATGACCAATCACACTTTATCAAGACAACCAGAACAGTTTAAGAGGACTCTAACAGTTGTAAAATACCTTAACTTACTCATATGAAAATGATACTGTGTACCTTGGTTAGTCATATGTGCAAAAAAAAACCTAATTTGAAACCCAAAATTGCAAAAATTAGTTTACAAAACCTGTAGTTAAGTTAAATCCAAAACATGTTCAGATGCTTCAACAATACCTACATTACACTGGAGGTATTTCAAGCTTACAATGATGGCTTGGGTGGTCAACCTATAAAGCACATCGTATGCATGCATCAGCAGCCACATACTTCTGCAAAATCACTAGAGCATTCCTATTTGGAACTTTATTCAACCTTGTGATATTATCATTCTTATAGCATCTGACAGTCTAATGTGTCATTAATGTGAATTCAGAAAGTGCACCAAATGTGGCCACTTGCTGTTCATAAGTGGAACAATGGAGACACCCAAAATTCCTTTCCTTACCTAGCCTTAAATGTTTAAATGTTTCAATTACTTTCCCACTATCCACTGATATATTTTCTTAGATGAACAATATATTTGATTTGTTTAAACATCCCACTATCCACTTATATTTTCTTAGATAAACAATATATTTGATTTGTTTAAACATCCCACTATCCACTGGTATTTTCTTAGATAAACAATACTAATTGAATAAGTTGGTAAATAATCCTTTCAAATGGTACAAAAGCTTATAATAACAAAAAAATGTACTACCAGCAAATTAGGAAATGAAAAGGATGAAAAGAAGAAGACCTTGTTGAAGTTGTAACATCACCATCTATAAATGTGCTTAGATAATTAGAAAATAGAATGATATAACAACAAATTGACAAACAAATATTTTCTTCGCATTTGACATCAGATACAAAGACATCCTTTTGTTAGAATTTAGCTCCCTAAAGGTTGTATTCCAGCATTACACCACTATATAATGATGCGTGGAACATAAAAATGACCTCAAAATTAATACTAGTCAAGCTATAGGATGAACTGTTGCTAAACCAATGTTTGTGAACAAGTGTATACAACCAAATGAGTCAATTAATACTATCATAAGTAACATAGTAGAAAATTACAAGATCCATTATATCATACTCTGAAAAGTCCCAGTAATTTGTTGTTACCCAATTTATCATGAAAGAGAAAGCCATACAATATAGTTTTTACAAAAAAGAAAACAAAGAACAACTAAAATCACTCAAGTTCAAGATGTGATACTTACTGCAAGACATAGTGTACACCTAAATCATCACAAACACCTGATTTTCCTGGCACTTGATGCCTGTAAAAAAAAAATCAAAATCAGAACAAAAAACCAAATAAAAAACCTTAACCCCAGATATAAACCTTAAAAACACCAAAAATCTTATATACAAGAGTGGGAAAGGTAAAATCTAGAGGGACCAAGAGAAGTTTCTTCTATAAAAAGAATCTGATTTTGGTCTTCCACTTCGTAGCAATAACAAGAAAGGTCCAGCGGGGTCCCCTGCCCAGACTTTTGGCGTTTGACAACATGGTCCAGCACGGTCCTTATCGAGCCATTGTTGAGGCACTCCATGATGGACCTCTACCTTCTGGCGATGACCTTATCGGCATATATCTTGATCATACCCTAAACCAGATGAGGAGCTGCAACAAAAGGTGGAAGAGGGAGGGGGAGGGAGGAGAGATCGGGGAAGGGATGCTGTTACTGCCGTTTCACCGATGGAGAGGAAGACACAGCAGCCGTTGTTCACTGAGGAAAACGCTGCAATGTCAAGACGTAGCTGGAGGATCCGGAATAACCTATATTGAAGATGAGGTGGTGGAGAGAGGATCTGGGATAGGAGACAGAATTTTGGAAGGGAGGGGGAAAGGAATCATTGAAATAACCTAGGAATCCGATTTGACTACTATTGAATATTGTCTACAAATCCACACACAAAGCAAAATCCACAAATCATTGAATCTTGTCTACTAATAACCTGATTTGACAACCATCGAAATACCCTAGGAAACTTAGCATCTATGCCGATCACTTCCCTAACTGTGTCTGCACTGAACTATCATAACAATGTTGACACCTTTATACTGTGTATTCACACAACTAAAAGACGTCTTTAGACGCATAAAACTTGAAGAAAAACAAGAGCACCGTTAAAGGATCAGAACAATATATGTAGGCCTCGAAAGATACCTGAATGGTCATGCCATCGTCTGCGTCTATCCACTTTCCACTAGTAAGCCCCTGAGTCCTCAGAGCCCCGATTCCATCGTAGTCAGTCATGAACAGCCCGTTGCAATTCCATACTCAACTGACTTCCAAACAAAATGCCAAGACTCAGAAGATATCATGAATCGACACCACTTGGCAAGACCGAAGACGAGGAAAGATCCTTTCAAGAATCGAAACGACAGGAAAAGGAGGAACACGAGGAGGCAAGATTGAACAAGAGAAAAGATAGCTTCAAGAATCAAACTAGAAGGCAAGATTGAAGACCAAGCGAAGAAGAAAGATGGATCCGAAACGAGAGCGACCGAGAGCTAGGGCAAGATTGAAGACGACAAAAAAAAAACCCATCAAGAATCAAAACTAGAGGACAAGATTGAATACCAAGCGAAGCAATTGATCCGAAAAAGCAGGGCCGTGAGCCGGGGACTGACAAGAGCAAGAGAAACGCTCGAGGAGAAACCTAATAGCTTGCCTAGCGGCAAGGTGGAAGACGGAGGGGGAGCGAGGAGGGATCGGGGAAGGGGGGGCGACGGCGAAGGACGAAGAAGAGGAGAAAGAGAGAGATACCGGGGAGCAGAGACGCCGCCTCTGCCGTTACACAGATGGAGAGAAAGACGCAGCAGCCGTCGTTCACCGAGGAAAACGCTGCAGCGACAAGAACTCGCCGGAGGAAGACACCGCCATTGCTTCCGCTGTTCGCTGATGGAGAGGAAGACAGCCGCCGTCCGCCGAGGAAGCGCCGCAGTCGCCGCTGGGAGAACAGCCACCGCTTAGGGCACGGGAACGCCCGGGGAGTGTGTCGGGGGGTGACTAGTGGTAGTTATCTTGACCCAGGTTTGACCCAGTATCGTTGAATCAGGCCGAAGCCAAAGCCCAGCACTGATTGGGCCCAAACGAGCGCATGGGCCAAGCGCCCGCCCAACCGACTTATCGGGTGATCGGACATCAAGAATTTTATTTTTAATTACCAAAAATAAAAAAAATAATTAAGATTTAAAGTAATAGACACAAATACGTCGGTAATAATTAACGTCTATGCCCAATATCGAATTGGTCATATACCTGTCAGAATTATTATCTTCATAATAATTCACTCGACTTATCGACTACGGATGTACTATGCCACTACACCGCAATCTCCAGATGATACAGAAAAATTCAATTCTTTGGACTTATATGTCC